AAATTGCATTTCTGTTTAACTTGCTTTCTACTTTTGTCAAATGTTGTGGTGCTTCATGTAAATGAAGAGAGATTCTTCAAGAAAGTCACATTAGAAAGGTCAGAGAAGCATTAGCAAGTGATAAAATTTGTAGTGGTTAAGGTTTGAATCAACAAACTATTCCCAAAAGGGCAAGTGGTACTCGTTTGAGCTCACATTATAATATTCAGCTTGATTACTATATTTTCTTCAATGATTGATGTGCTTAGAATTGTCGAGGAAGATGAATCAAACTCAGAACAACGAGCTGAAGCATGTATGCTATTGGGTTTTATCATATCTTTTGAATTTGTATTTAACTTGCATTTGATGAAAAATATATCGGGAGTTACTAATGATTTGTCTTAAGCACTACAATGAAGTGATCAATCTAATCTAATACTATTATAAAAGTGTGTTGGTATGTTAAAACATTTCTTCCCAAAGTGTCCTTAAATTTATGCTAAACCATATACATACATAACATATGTTAAAACATTTCTTACCAAAGTGCCCTTAAATTTATGCTAAACCACATACATAAACCATACAAATTTATGTTAAAACACATACATACAAAACATAACACATACATAATAAAACATATAGATACATACATAAACTATAACTATGTATATTTATAGTTAACACTTAATGACGTTTTAATTGATACATGCATAATGTCATCAGTTACAATTGATAGTTACCTCAACGTATGACGTTTTGATTGATACTTAACGCTTAATTAATGTCATCAGTTACAATTGATGTCATATGTTACAATTTATTTATATTGGCTATACGTGAATGCTTAGCTGCATGTGAATTTTATGTTGACATAAAATTATGAACGGATGTATAGTGATAATTATGAACGGATGTATAGTGTTCTTATGAACTAAGGAATATAAATTTTAAATTTCGGTGACACGTGAATGCTTATGTTGCTTGCTAAATTAATGTCATCAGTTACAATTGATTTTTTTCTCTCGTAACTATGTAATAAATGTTATTTACACTTTTGTCTCTTCTATCTCATATAAATATACTTCATACTAAACTTCCATCTTACCAAATCTTATCGAATCCTACCAAAAAAAATAGAGATGGAAGCAACACTATATGATTCAAAAAGGTTAGTAAAATCATGTTTTTTTTGTAAGGTATAAACTCCGAATTATCTCTATAATTTATATTTTTTTTCATGAAGCCTGTCATCTGATCAAGATGGAACTAATGATCAATCCAACATCACGATCCGAGAGTTAAAAATTTATCAAAAACAATGGAGTATAATTGTTCGTGTCTTACGTAATACTATAGACTCCTTTAAGAATGGAGAAGGGAATAAACAAAAGCTAATTCTAATTGATGAAGAGGTGATACAAATTTCACATTGTTATTATTTCATTTAATTATCATATTACCATGATTACGTAATTTATTCTACATTGTGTATTTTGTAGGGAACACTTATCCAAACAATTTTATTTAATAAGCTGATAGAAAAGTTCAGCGGTTTATTGATAAAGGGGGAGACGTATACTATAACCAATGGAGAAGTAAAGCCTCCAAATTTGAAATATCTAACAATTAATCCAGAAAAAGAGTTGGCACTCATAACAAAGACAATCATTCGAGAAACAAAAAAAATTGTATCATTGGAAAAGTTGAAACCAATATTCCTTTCATTTAAAGATGCTTCTGCTTTTGATGATGGAATAATGCCTTTTGGTAAGTTTTTTTTAAATATTATGCAAAAAATAATTCATATTAATAATCACTAAAAATTCTCTGTTGCAGATGTTGTTGGATTCGTGACAACTGTGAAACCAATTTTTACTAATACCAAATCCAAAAGAAGGGATGTCATAATTATGAATAAAGAGTAAGAATTTAATATTATTGTTTATTATTATGTACTGATTATTGGTAAGAAAACTAATGTTTTTTTAAAAATTTAGATTTGATCAAATTTCGGTGACACTATGGGGTGATTTAGCGGAGATTGAAGGATCGTCTTTGGAGAATTTGAAAGATGCGAAACCCGTTGTCGCATTTCTAAGCGTAATTGGTAGACGTTATTTAGGTAAAAAAAATAACGACAAGCATGGTTTTAAAATGATGTGAAAATATTTTAATTTTAAGTTTGTTTTATTTTTAGGGGAGTTTCAATTATCTACAAAACCACACCAAACCTTTCGGTTTTTGGTTTTTTTTTGCGGTTTGGTGCGGTTTTTTTCTTTCCTCGGTTTTTTCGGTTATGGTTCGGCTTTGGTGTGGTTATTTTTTCGGTTATCGGTTTTCAAGTTATAACCCTAACACTATGGGTCAATTTAGCAGAGATTGAAGGATCATCTATGGAGGACTTGAAAGATGCAAAAACCGTTGTTGCATTGCTAAGCGTAATTGGTAGACGTTATTTAGGTAAAAAAATAACTACAAGAATGATTTTAAAAAGATGTAAAAATCTTTTAATTTCATGTCTGTTTTATTTTTAGGTGAGTTTTAATTATCTACAAAGCAATCAACTCTTATGCTCGTGAATCCTAAAATTCCACAATGTAGAGAAATGATAGACTGCTGTGTAAGTTTTATCTCTTTTATTTCAAAGTTTTAAAATGAGTTTTTCTATATATACCCCTTAATTTATATGTAACTTTAAAATTACATCCTACATTATTGTTCTTGCAAAACTATCATCAAAAAATAATTATTTGGGTCATTTCTTTCTTAATATATAAGCAAGAATATAATGTTAATTTTAATATTACATTGTTCAAATTACAAAATATAATCACTTGTGGTGTAAGTTTCAAGATATCTATAATCAAAGGAGCATATATGGAAAATCCATTTTATAAAAAATAAATTGTTCATTAATTTTAACTCTTACTTCTCATAAATTTTAGACTTGGTAATTCAAACAGTGAGAGTAGTAAAATGTGTTGTCGACACCAACAAAAAGGATCATTCAAGCAAATAGGGTCAAGCTGACTGATGTTATCAATACTTCGCCTCAATTGTCTAAGGTATGTTAAATTTAGTAATAATGAAAACTAATTTATTTGATCATCTAAGTTTTAATGTTATTTTACTTTTCTCCAGAGTATGTTTTGCTCATTTGCGGCAAAAATTATTACAATAATTAATAAGGAAGAACCATTTTTTAGTGCATGTGCAAAATACAAAAAGGCAGTGCATGAGATTAATGGCAGCAAGGAAAATTACACAAACTATAAAAATGAAGATTCAGATTGGACAATCAAGTTGGATAATATACATTAATCTCTATATCATTGTTAATATATATTTACAATTTCTTATGCAAAAATTCATTGCAAGTATAACTTGCGCCTAGAGGTAAATGATCGAACAGATACAACATATGTAACTTTATTTGACAAAGCAGAAATTTTGATTGGTTTCACAGCTATTACATATGTAGAGATGTTTGAGGATGAATCTTCTGAATGTTACAAGAAAATGAAATCATGCTTAGAAAAAGAATATGTTTTCCTTGTGAAGATAAATGAAAAAGAAGAATCCAATCGAAAAGCAAGATGTATAATTGCGCAGGAGGTTCGAAAAGTAGAAGAAATACACCCCTAGCTGTGGAAACTGGAGAAACTGGTAGTAGCAAAGTTATTGACGCCAGAAAAAGACTGTTTGGGCTCAAGAGTGAAATAATGAAGAAAAAAAATGAAAATAGAACCAAATACTTCAAGCACCTAAATTTTGTATTTCTTCGCTTATTTCAATAAAATGAAAATTTATCTGTTACTTCGTTTCACAACACACACCAAGAGTCATGTCACCTATAGTAATTAGTAATTAACCTTTTAAGTATTAGCTCTTTATTTATCTATGAACAATTATTTTTATCTCCTTTCTTTCTCTACAAGCTCTCTCAAAGTTCATTATTGCATCAAAAAAGGGTTTATATCGGATTTTATTTCAATTACCCATGAATAATCATTAAAATTAGAATGATACTTCAAGTTTCCATGGAACCAAAAGCATATTATGATGTTAGGAATTTCTATGGAATTTTATTTCACTAAATCCGTTTTTGTTTGAATTTCTGTGATTAAATCAGAAACACAAAAGTATGAGTGAAGTGGATTTCATGATATCTTCACTCGAAAATTATTTTGACGATTTGAGTCTATGTTGTTTTAGTTTATAGCTCTGTGAAGTTTTAGCGCATTTAGATCTCGATATCTGATCCGATTCTTCTAGATTTTGAATTTTGCTGCAATTTTAAGTTTGGTTTAGCTGCCGCAGGTGTGGTTATGGGTGATTTCATTAAGTTTTGTACTGTGATTTGTCTAATCTTTTTTATATCATATGTGAAAATTAAAGTATTTCGTGATATCTTTTTGTGGATGGTCCAGGAGGAACAGGTAAAACTTTCCTTTATCGTGCATTGCTTGCAAATCTAAGATCAAGAAAAAGATGATAGCATTAGCAACAGCGACATCAGGAGTGGCTGTAGTAATAATGCCAGGAGGGCGAACTGCACATTCGCGATTCAAAATTCCAATTACTGCTAATGAGACCACAATGTGCAATATATCAAAGCAGGATGGAACATCAAAATTGATACGATTGGCATCACTTATAATATGGGATGAAGCACCTATGGCAAAAAGATTTACGATTGAGACGGTTGACAGAACATTGAGGGATGTAATAGGTGACAAAAGAATTTTTGGTGGAAAAGTAGTCGTGTTTGGAGGTGATTTTCGTCAAGTTCTACCAGTTGTTCCACGGGGCACTAGAGCAGAAACAGTCAATGCAAGTCTTGTGAAATCATATCTCTGGGAAAAAAATGGAGAAATTATCTCTCACTATTAATATGAGAGCAAGAACTGATCAAGTATTTGGAGAGTTCTTATTGTGCGTGGGGAATGGAGAGGAACCCACAATAGATGAGAATTTTATACTTCTTCCACATGAAATGGTAATAGAATATGACAATGATGAAAAATCTGAAAAAATTGATTGATGCTATCTTTCCATCATTACAATCAAATTCATCATCAGCTGAATACATGACACAACTTGCTATTCTTTCAACAAGGAATGAGTATGTTGATGGACTTAATGAAAAATTAATTGCATTATTTCCTGGTGAAGCTAAAATATTCTTTAGCTTTGATGAAGCAGTAGATGACACAAATAATTATTACCAAGAAGAGTTCTTAAACACCTTAATGCCGAATGGACTCCCGCCTCACAAATTGATTCTTAAAAGAAATTGTCCGATCATGCTGTTACGTAATCTTGATCCATCTAATGGAATGTGCAATGGCACACGAATGATCTATAGAGGATATGAATATAATGTTATCTATGCTAAAATCACAATTGGTCAACATTCTGGTCAAAATGTCATGATTCCTAGAATACCATTATCTCCAGCTGAAAATGAGGGTTATCCATTCCAATTTCGTAGAAAACAATTTCCAATCCGACTATGTTTTGCAATGACAATAAACAAAGCGCAGGGACAAACAATACCTTATGTTGGAGTTTATTTGCCACACCATGTATTCTCACATGGTCAATTATATGTTGCATTATCAAGGGGGATATCAATGAGAACAACTAAGGTATTAGTGAAAGTTGACCAAACAAGAAGAACAACAAAAACATACGCGAAAAATATTGTGTATCCAGAAGTATTATTGCCTCAAAGGTAAATCACCTCATCAAAATCATGACTCATTATTTTTTCATTCTATGATGCACATTTTGTACAAATTAACTTTCAAACAATTATTATCTAACACAATATTCTAATATGCAACGAAGATGTGTATTAAAGTTGTTAACTATTTATAATGCAACGGACTATCTTTGATCTCAAAGGTAATTTCCCTATTTATGTAACATTTATAGTTAGGTTTGATCCTCCATAAGTTTATGATGCCTGATCATGCTCGATTCAGTTCTGTTTGCAGGTCATGGACTCTAGCTATTATAGATCAAATTGCCTTGCTACAGCCCGATTCCCCATGGCTCTCTACAATTTGACAAAGATGCATCTTTTGAAGTTGATGAAGCCTGCTAAAATTGAGCTCCTTTCTGTCTATTTATATCAAACTTAAATAAGATATGATTATGCTACATTAAGTGTACATATAATTAAATAATTTTGGTTACTTCATTTATTTATGGTCTTTTTGGTCAATATACTGGTTTTTCATATGCCAAATTAGTGTTTTTATGATGCTATTTATAACCCTATAACATCTATTTATATCATAAATAATATATATATTATTTATAACCCTATGACATCTATTTATAACCCAATGACATCTTTCATGTATATGTCAAGTAGAAAAAAAATTAATCAATACAATAAAAACTATAAGGCTACATATAAACATGAAAGTATTTACACGTGCAACGCACGTGCACCATACTAGTACTATTATAAAAGTGTGTTGGTATGGTAAAATATTTCTTCCAAAAATGCTCTCCAAACCACATACATGCATCCATAAAACACATACTTACATACATATAAACACATACATATACATGCATTGCATCCATAAAACACATACTTACATACATATAAACACATACATATACATGCATACATTCTTAATAATGGCATAACTCTCCTATTAATTGTCCCATACATTCTTAATAATGGCATAACTCTCCTATTAATTGTCCACTAATATTAACTTCTATTTTTTGTAAACCCTCCACTTAAAACGCACATATGACAAACTAATAATATACGTTTCAATTTGCAAGCAAAGTGTCAACTTAAAATGCCATTAGTGCATGCATTCATGTATTCTTGAAATGAGAGTTATATTTTTAATTGTAGTTTTTATTTAAGTGGCAATTATATTTAACTGTTACAAAATCCAAAGAGCCTGCTTTTTTTATTTATCATAATAGCCCTTACTTGCAAACTATATAATTCACTCATTTGATGAATTAGATTTACACTTACCAACACTGGAAACGTGTTGTCAACAAGTCTTATCTCATGGTTTTGGTATTGACTGATCCAGAGTCAGAAATGTGATGGACATGAGACCTGTCTATAGAGGGTAAGGTTATAATATTTCATGGTAGTGCTGCCACTCTACTGCTACTATGTGTTCATAATGAGCCCATGATAATTTTATGCTTTGTTCTTATAGGTTTGCTGCTGCACTCAAAGATATGAAAGTGTGGGTCATGAATTTAGTGAACATTGCTTCACCAGATACACTGTCGATTATCTATGAGTGTGGCCTCTTTGGTATGTACCATGACTGGTGTGAATCTTTCAGTACCTATCCAAGAACTTACGACCTCCTGCACGCTGATCGTTTGTTCTCTCAAGTGAAGAAAAGGTGGGTTGAAAACCATTGTTTAGTTTTTGTTTTCACCGTACATACATTTATGTCTTTGGCCTAACCAGACATATATAGTCAATTTCTAAAAATTTCAGATGCAAGATTTTACCAGTGGTAGTAGAGGTTGATAGGATAGCAAGGCCCGGAGGCAAGCTGATAGTTCGTGACGAATCTGGGGTTGTAAGCGAAGTGGAGAATATACTCAAGTCTTTGCACTAGGATATCTGCCTAACCTATTCTAGAAACCAAGAAGGGATCCTTTGCGCCAAGAAATTAGATTGACGGCCTCAAAAGTTGTCATTTTCAGCTTAGAGAAAGAGGTGTTTCGTGATTGAGTTTGTCAGTTTTACATCTGTTTTTAGAACCTTTACCACTTGAAATTTTGCAAGGATAAGAGTATTATCATTCTAATGAAGAATTTTGATTTTGATCTCTCTGCTTGTGTTTACGAATTTTGTCTACAGACTACAGTGTATCTTTGCAAATCTGACACCTTCTCGATCATAAAAAATAACAGGAGATCAATCAAAAATAAAATTCTGAAAATAAGAAAGCTTCTCATTTATTTGTGTTTATGTTGCTGTCACCCAAACTGGCAGATTACAAGTAAAACAACAACTTATTCCGACCATTTAACAACTCGGAATCAGGGGAAATGATTTATTGCAAGCAGGATCTTCGTGCTTACCTTTATTTGGTCTTGAGGTTCAGTCCATGGACACTCAATCAATTTAAGCAAACAAATATTCATGTCAAGATTGTAAGTTGTATTTGACATAATATCTAAGAATTGAATGCACACACATATGACAAACTAATAATATACGTTTTAATTTACTAGTAAGGTGCACGTGCTTTGCACGTGTGTCCATTTTCTTGTTTATATGTGGGCATTGCAATGTTAATTTTATTTTTCTATTTTATAATTTTATTATTTAATTGCAATTTAAATTAGTTCGATTTGCATTAACACTTTATTAGATATCAGATTAGTTTTTCTAATCATAAAACTTATACAATCTATTTAGGGTAAATTTCGCAAATGCCCATGAATAAATCCCTTTAATTTTTAAAATGTCACAAAACTCTTTTAAGTTTTAAGGCTCTCAAAACACCACATTTAAACCCTAAAAGCGTGAAACACAATTTTTATTGCCAAAAATATCACTCTGCGTAATTTTACTCATATGTGAAAAAGTACGAAGTAAGGATTATTGTAATTAAGAAGGATTTTTTAAAAATTGTTGTTTTTTTTTGGGGGGGGGAGGGGGGGGATTGTATGGGTATTCGCATGTTCTACTCACATGTTAATTATGGCTTTGTTTTACACTTATTTATTGCTTTATTTATATTTTTACCTACCTTTTTACAAGGGGAGGAGGCTAATTTCAACCAAGGGTAATTTGGTCTTAACCTAAATAAATAACTCAATTTAGAAATTTTAATGGAGAAATTGGTATCCTTAATATATATATATATTCTCCTTCATTACCTTGTTCTTGATCTAAATTAAAGTTGAGTTATGATTTAATTTTTTGCAAGAAACAACATTGGTGAAAAAGAAACTTATAACACATGTTAAGAAATATTAGTTGGCTAATAATTTGTTTTGATAAATCCAAAGAGATGTATGGCCTATTTATTCGCATCCCATGGCCATGCCATTCATTAGCCTTTTGAGATGATACTTTAAGGTTTTGAATTTTATTATTAATTCATTATTCGCATAATTTTTCTAAACTAATTGCCAATTTAGTAATCAAAGTATTTTTGACTTGCTATTAGACCCAAAAACTTATGATATGAGCAGATATATGTGAAAGAACTGTCTTATATCTCTCCTCTCAGTACCTGGTTAGTGCACGTGCATTGCACTTTGGCATACTTGTTTTACGTTCCAATGAGCAAATCCAAAATAATTATTCAACTAATAAGTGAGTCATTTAATACAAAATAACTATTATAAAAAATTATATAAATTACTTTTGATGGCTGATGAAGAAAAATATTATTATAGAGAATGTGCTACATATGGTTCACATACTTAACAACCAAAGGGAAAAAAATCATATCATACATACTTTAATGCTATTTTTGTCTAAAATATGGATCTATTACATTGCAATGGTAAGATAGAGTGTAGCATGTTAGATTTGGTAAAATAAATGTTCAAGTAATATATAATTATAGGGATGGTTGTAATCTTTTATTAAGACCACCAATAAATAATATACATGGATTTGTAAATAAAGTTTTTTTTTATCCTAGTATTCCTAAATCGGTATTTTAGGATACATTAAAAAAGTATTTTTGATGGCTGTAAAAATTAAATTTTAAAAGTAATGAAGAAAAATACTATTATAGAGAATGTGCTACATATGGTTTACATACTAAACAACCAAAGGGAAAATAAGTTATATCATACATACTTTAATGTTATTTTTGTCTAAAATATGGATCTATTACATTGCAATGGTCAGATAGAGCGTAGCATGTTAGATTTGGCAAAATAAATGTTCAAGTAAGATATAATTATAGGGATGGTTGTAATCTCTTATTAAGACCACCAGTAAATAATATATGGATTTGTAAGTAAAGTTTTTTTTATCCTAGTACTCCTAAATTGGGATTTTAGGATATAATTTACACTTTGGAGATAATAAATTATATATTATTTGCTACTCTCATTTGAAATTAAGAACTAATATGTGATTTTACTTTGTGCATGATGAACTCCAAGTTACACCATCATCAACCTCCATAAGTTGCACATACATTATAAAAAATAGCTTCCACAAATTAAAGTCCGGTCCTAAAATAAATAAAATTTATCAAAATGAAAAATCTGTAATAAGATATCAGTTAAAACAACGTTATATAATTCGTAGTTTATACCTTACAAAAAACATGCTTTTACTAACCTTTTTGAATCACATAGTGTTGTTTCCATCACCTCCTGTTTTATATTTTTTTGGTACGATTTGATGAGATTTTGTAAGATGGAAGTTGAGTATGGATTACATTTATAGGAGATAGAAGAGACAAAAGTATAAACAACATTTAGTACATAATTAAAAGTGCATTTGATAATGGGAGGTTACAAAAGTGTAAACAACATTTAGTACATAGTTATGAGTGCGGTTTTTCAAGTGACGTGTGGAGGGGAAAAAAACAATTGTAACTGATATCTTATCAATTGCAATTAGCTGCCGAGGAAAATTGTTGGTTCTTTTTGACCAACAAATAGCAATATAAATATGAACTTCCTATGTTTTTTTCAATTGTAACTGATTCTTATCAATTGTAATTAAAACAATTGCAAATATATAATGGACCTCCCTGCGTTTCCACATTAAAAGACATCAGTTATGAGTGCGGTTTTTTTTGAATGAATTAAAAGACATCAGTTACAATTAAAAGACATCAATTGCAATTAGTTGCCGAGGTGTGGAGGGAAAAAATCAATTGCAACTGATGTCTTATCAAGTGCAATTAATATTTAATAAAATAATTACAAATATACATAGTTATGGTTTATGCATGTATCTATATGTTTTATTATGTATGTGTTATGTTTTGTATGTATGTGTTTTAACATAAATTTGTATGTTTTATGTATGTGTTATGTTATGTATGTATATGTTTTAACATAAATTTGAGGGCATTTTGGGAAGAAATATTTTAACATACCAACACACTTTTATAATAGTATTAGATAAACAAAGTGTCAACTTAAAATGCTTACATGCATACATTCTTAATAATGGCATAACTCTCCTATTAATTGTCCACTAATATTAACTTCTATTTTTTGTAACCCCTCCACTTAAAACGCACATATGACAAACTAATAATATACGTTTCAATTTGTAAACAAAGTGTCAACTTAAAATGTCACTAGTGCATGCATTCATGCATACTTGAAATGAGAGTTACATTTTCAATTGTAGTTCTTATTTAAGTGGTAATTACATTTGACTGTTAAGGAATCCAAAGAGTCTGCTTCTTTTTATGTATCATAATACTACCGGTTTTGTTGATGTGTAAATTTTTTTATATAATAAGTATGTTATAACCTCCCTAATGTTAAAACTATATTTCTAAATTTGCACGTAAAACTATCAGTAGTTATTAAATGTCATTTATTATCTTAAATTATAAAGTAAATAGAATTATATCTTTTAAGATTAAAAAAAATTATATCTTTTGGATATTTCATGATTTGCCAATGTTCACAAAATAACCCTAAATTTTTTCACAAATAACTAATTAAATAATGAATTGTGTAAAGTATTAGAACATAAAACAAATATGTCCACGTGCAACACACGTGCAATAAACTAGTATATTGTAAATGTTATGGCATTAGTTGAAGTATCAAAGTGACGATTACAATCGATGAGAGATGATGAATGGTAGTATTCGCTTCATGAAGTTTGTTCTTTTTGCAAAAGGAACAATATTATATTTCCAAAAATAAACAATTTATTTGTAGCTCCAGGGAAGTCAAGACATAAAGTTCAAAATATTTGAAAATTGCATCATTTTCAAGTTGAAGTATCTATATCTATACTCCTATAAAAAAAGATTGGGTTGTTAAAACTTTTAATTTTCTTTTTTGTCCACTCAAATTTTAATAAGTTCTACTTATGCCATTATCTCTAATTAATCTTTTATTAACTAA